TACAGTAGTGAAGCCCCTGAGCCCTAAACCTTTGCGTGGGTCTATGTTGACCCTTGGGGTAGGTGTTAGCTCTGTACTGGGAACAGTCAACCAGGTTCCGGAACTAGTATCAAGGTCTGGCCTGTAAGACTGTGATGAAAAAACCGATGTACTGCTGCACTGCTCTTTCCGACGTTCGCCGTGGTCAAGAGAGCAGAGAACTAGTTCCAGTTCCTGCATCCCTCGAAGATTTAAAACTATATATTATACAGAGTTGGTTAGAGACGGGAAGTTTTTACCTAAGTGCTCAGATGTGTCAGCTGATCTGGTACCACTATCTGGTCATGCTCTTCCGTTCCGAAGCCCCAGGTGAGGACGGACCCATTGCCCAGGACCACCGCAAATGCGTGAGTTGCTGAAGTCTGTATCTGCTGGACATCCTTCAGCTGCTCATGCACGATGCTAGCACTGGTATCATTGAGGTCGTCACTACCCCAAGTGACCGCAGAGCCATCATCCAGAATGGCAGCAAAAGCAAACCCCGAGGATTGGATCTGACGTACATTCCTCAGCCTATCTTGCACCAGACTGCAGTCGCCACCGTTCTGGCTGGCACCCCAGGCCACGACCGATCCATCATCCAAGATCGCAGCAAAAGCGTCGCTGGAAGCTTGTATCTGCTGGACATTCTTCAGCTGATGCTGCACAGCAGAGCTGTCGCCTCCGGAGTCGTCGCAGCCCCAAGTTATTACCTGGGTTGTAGTTTCGGGGCTCTGAAAAGTATTTATGAATAGGTACCTCTATAGGAACCAGAAGGGAAATTGAGAAGTTTCCCAAATTGCCACCTAGTTACAGACCCATCAGCACGAATCGCAGCAAAGGCATGGGAGGATGATTGGATCATCCTCACGTTCTTCAGCTGATCTTGCACATCACCGCTGTCGCCACCCGTCTCAGAATCACCCCATGTCACAACAGATCCATCGGCAAGAATAGCGGCGAAAGCTTCATCGCTAGATTGTATCTGCCGTACGTGCTTCAGCTGTTCTTGCACAGAAAAGCTATCGCCGCCACAGGCATCGAAACCCCAAGTCACTACGGATCCATCACCTAGGATAGCAGCAAAAGCATAGAAGCAGGCTTGTACCTGCCGCACATCCTTCAGCCGATCTTGAACCAAAGAGCTATCGCCGCCAAGGCCTGTCTCACCCCATGTCACCACGGATCCATCCTCCAGGATCGCAGCAAAGGCGTGGGCGGCGGACTGGACCAGCTTCACATTCTGCAGGCGAGGCTGCACAGCACTGCTGTCACCACCATAGTCGGCATCGCCCCAAGTGACGACCGATCCATCAGAAAGGATCGCAGCAAATGCGCCATCAGAAGATTGAATCTGCTGAACATGCTTCAGCTGCTCTTGCACGGCACTACTGTCACCGCCAAAATCGGCATCACCCCAGGTGACCACTGATCCATCACTCAGGATGGCGGCAAAAGCATAGGTGGAAGCTTGTATATGATGCACATCTTTCAGCTGATCTTGAATTGTACTGCTGTCGCCACCATAGCCGGGATCGCCCCAGGTTACCAAACGTCCGTCACCCAGGATCGCAGCAAAAGCAGACCCTGTCACGATGTCACGTTGAAGCTTGGCAGCCATCACTTGAACCTGGCTTATATGCAGAAGCACTGCATCACCGCTTTGCAGTCCTGCTTCTGTGAGGGTTGCTTTTCCATCCAGTACATCACCTGAGGGCTGCTTCAGATAATGATCCCTTTCAAGAGTCCTACTCTATGTCTAAACTCTAAACCCTACAGACCCTACAAATCCTGCTCTACATTGCGCCTACCGAGTTGAAGAGCACAGCTCAAGGGCAACCCGGCAACCCCCATGTAGACATGCAAAGCCACCTGCGGAGTTCAGCAACCTTCCCCTGCCAACTGCCAGAGCACTCTGGGCACGCTGTCTCAAGGTCTCCACAGAAGAATCTGCTTCTAACTCCACGATCGCCCTTCGCCCGCTGATCAAGCGCACATCAATTGAAAGGCACATTTCCGTGCGGTTGCAGGCACTTGGGGACGGCATGCCCGGCCATGCCCTCAAGCATTGACCGCTGCATCTAGACTCAGTGTTACATCCTACAACAATGTTAGATGCATACAATTATTTGAAACTGGATGAGGCAACAAGCTAGTCGCGACGTATCTGGTGGGCTCCATCACCGCATTATCTCAACCTTAAGTGACGGTCTACTTGGGAGCCAAAGCCCAGAGCGTCCGGAAACAACCTCCCTCTAAAGGAACCCTGCTTTAGTTGCTATGGCACCGTTTACCCATACAGTAACCCATTACAGTCATCCTTATAAAGAGCCCTTGAAGGAGCCCTCTAGACACCGCTAGAAAGAAGGACTAGTTGCATGGCAGGCTCCAAACCCTAAACTGTCTAAACTCCATACTTAAACTGTATGCACCTTGTCACCGCTGCAAACTGTAAACCTTACGCACCATACAAACCCTGTAGGCCCTTCAAGGGCATTAAAAAACACTATCCTGCTATATCAACTGCACCTGAAAGCTCTTATAAGCCCTGAAACCCTGTATATGTTTTAACTGTATCTATATATAGCAACCCTATAAACTCCAAGCTCTAAACACATCCACAACTGAGCCCTGCGCCAGATCGACGGAGCCTTGAGAGCAGGCGTGGAAAAGGGGCGTCCAGCCTGCGAGAAGGTTTAGGGCTTCGGGCTTTCGGGGTTTAGGGTTCAGGGTTTTTTGGGGGGTTTAGGGCTGGAGCTGACCCCACGAATTTCGCAGTAGGTCGAATTTAAGGCATATATAGTAATATAGCGGATATTTTGGCACTATAGAATATTGAGTGTATCGGCGCTTGCGTTCTGTTTTTCGTGGCCTTCACGGCGTAATTAGGGGGTGTGGGTTCGAGGTTTAACCTCAGGCTTTCAGGCTTTGATTAACGACTTTCAAGTTTCCGGCTTTGGGGAAAAATGCTGGTCGTCTGGCCAGCTCAGAACACAGTTGTCGCCTTTGCGTTTGAAATAATTAGATTAGAACATCGCAGACCTCCACATAACGGACCCGGCGGGACAGTATATACTCATTTTTCATGGTTTCAAGAGGATTGAAAAATCTGGGCCCCATGCCACTCTATGGCATTCCTATATACCACCCTTGAACCTAAGCGAACGTTGCAGAACCCCGTAAGACACCGTTGAAAATAAAAGAAAACTAGACCCCTGAGTGTAAACCCTGTGCCCAAAAAAACCCAGGACCATAACCTGAACCCAACAAATCGGTCCAGGGCCTCGCTCATCTTTCTTGTTGAGCTGCGCCTTCGCTGAGGGTTTAGGCTAAAGTTTAGGGAGCCAGGGTTTATTTTGATCAGCTACAAATCATTCGGTGCCGTAGCGAGTTGATTGAAAAAATGTTGGGTGATTTTGGGTCCCAGAGGCTTCTCCGTTATTATGTACTTAGGACGCTTTGGTGGGGATGTGGATGGGTACTTGAGACATGCCTAGTCGGAAACTACCTTTTCCTTGAACCCCGGGCTCCTGAACCCTACTTGGAGGATCATGGGACTTAGTAAGTAATAAGGTTATAAGTACCTCAATCGGGGTTATCAGCAGTTGTAGGTATAGTTGCCCTAATTATAACCCTAGTTACTAAGTCCCATGATCCTTTAGGTAACCTTGCACCACCGCCAGCAAAACACATATGCACAGGCAACAGAGAGAGCGGGAGACAGAGAGAGCGGGAGAGAGCGGGAGAGAGAGAGAGCGAGAGAGAGAGAGAGAGAAACAGAGAGAGAGAGACAGACAGGCACATATATATATATATATACTTATACACATATGTATATATACATACAAATACATCATAATACAGCAAACTCGAACCTTAACCCTAAAGTTATACCCTTAACCCTAATCCCAAAGCCTAAACCCTGCATAAGCTAACCCTTCAACGCTCACCCCCCACGGAGTCCAGGCCTTGCGATCTGCAAGAAGCTCAACGAGGCGAAGGCCTCGGGTGTTTTGGGGGTTTCCCAAACAGGGGAGCTGCTGTTTTATAGGGGTTTAGGGGTTTTAAGGGTTTGAGGGGTTTTGGAGTTTAGGGGTATAGGAGTTCAGGGGTTTCAGGAGTTTAGGGGTATAGGAGTTTAGGGGTTTCCGGGTTTAGGGGTTTGGGAGTGGGATCAGGGAGCTGCTATAAGGTTCAGGTAGGGTTTGGGGTTTAGGGCTCAGTCTTTCAGGTCTAGAGTTAGGGGTTAGGTTCCCTACGATATAGGTCTCGGGTTCTGCAGGATTGAAAGCTAGAGCGCAGGGGGATTATGTGTTGTAGGCTGTGGGATGTCGGGATGCCGGTTTGGGGTTTGAGGGCTTCTTGTCAACTCTGCACATCCGATGCTGAAAAATGAGGCTGCATGGTGAGGTTGCGTCATGTGATGCCTGCCACAGGTTTGGGCTTAGCCTGCAGCGAAGAAGGTCTAAGGACCCCTGTCTGGGTGGTGGTTTTCGTTTGGGTCGGAAGCCAGGCATATGCAAACGACACTTTGCCACGTACCCCGGAATACCACTCGGTAGGAACCAACAAGGAGAAACTGCACCACGAAGCCGAAGTGCTTGCTAAACCATTCTGTAAACGCTAAACATAGGGAACCCTAATATAGCACCCCGAATCGTAGGATCCTTGTTATATGAACCCCAAAATGAGGTACCCTTAACCCTAAGCCCAAACCCTTACTTTAGATTTCTTTGTCCTTCCAGGGCCTTCAGATCCAGAGCTAGTTGAGCGAGCCCTCGGCCTCTGTCCCTGAGCCTGTCCATCCCCAGGGCTGCTGATGAGTATCATGACCGTTACACCAAAAATTACTTTTATGACTTCTGATGATGATACTTGTCATTGCTATTATTCCATTGCGGGCTTCGATCCATGAAGCAGTGCCGTGTGGTAATGCCATTCATTATGTTCGAACGATTTTCTGACCATGATGCCCGTTATTGCTATGCCAAGCTTCCACCTTCCAGCGCTGCCAGCATGATCGCGGTTCGGCCATCGTGGGTGGACACCTCAACGAAGCTCCATGACGTGGTTACAAATGCCGGCATGAGACTTCGGGCTTGGGGTTTAGAGTTTAGGCCCTTGGCTCGGAGCAGAAGCCACATAAGCCCCAGTCACACTGGAAGCTCATGCGTGCGAATACTGAGTCCATTCCCAATCCAACATTATGCGAGCTCCCAAACCCCGCAAAATCTGAAATCGTGCTAGCAAACCCCCACCACCAGGAAGACTCCAAACCCAATTGAATCGTTGCTCCTCCTATATGCCAGAAGAAGTCGCGGGACCAATACTAGAACTAGCACCTGCATCAAGACAAGCATCGCGACAGTCGGTCTAAGGAAAATCCAAGAGTAAAAGGAGGGACCCTTAATACGGACCCCGAGGTATAGACCTTTAAGATTATATACCCATTATATAGCCCATTATAGGGTAGGGGTCCCCATTAAGGGTCCCTCCTTTCCCCCTTTGAGAAAAGTTCACCTTCAGTGCCGGCAGAGTTGACTACACTGCCGGCTTCGAGGTCATATACGGGTGGTTGTCAAAATTATAGTTCCTTTTTGGGTCCCCATTATAATACGGCACCTAATAATTAGGGTACCCAACAAGGGACCATAATTTTGACAACCACCCGTATGAAACAAGGGTATAGCATTCAGGGGTTGAGGGCCTGGGCAGTTTAGGGCTTATAGGGTTTACAAGGTTTGGGAGTTCCGGGTCTAGGCCACAGCCTCCATGATACTACGAATTTCGGAGCCATCGCACATCATCTCGTCGCAATGTCCTCCAAGTTTACGCTTGCATGGTTTGGGGGCCCCCAGGGTTCCATATACCCAAAAAGTACTATACTCGGGCCTACGGTACATAAATAGCCCCAAGTTTATACTGTATGATGCAATTTTAGGGTACAAGGGAGCCGGAGCCTAACCTGGTTCCGAATAGCTCAATAGCCCTCGAAATTCGCGTGGGGGCGAGTCGACGATCATTCATAAGGCTTTCGGCACCTGTGAACCGGCAGAAGAAAGCCGAAAGGCAAGAAAGCCACCAAAACCATGAACTCCAAACACTGAACCCTACAACGCTAAAGCCGGGCGCCTTTAGCTGCGCGCGTTGGTCCAGCAGCCTGAAGCCACTTGACGAGTCTATCGCTACGCGTCAGCGGGGGTCGACAGTGGTTTAGGGTTTAGGGTTTAGATTGGCTTAGTTAGGGGTTTATAGGGTGTGTGGGATTGAAAAAAGGGTTTGGGGGTCGTTGTGGTTTACAGGCAGTGGTCCCAGGTCCACCTTGTTAGGAAACCCTCCTGGGCCCTAGTTGGAGGTTCATGGGAAGTTATAAGTGGGTTATAAGTAAGCTAACTATACTTATAACTCATATTAGGGGACTTATAACCATACTTAGAACTACGCCTCCAAGGATGCAAGAGCAACCACCTCTGCAAAGGTATGTCACAGAGGAGTGAACCTAGCAAGCGCCAACCTCAAGAGACCTCAAGAAGCCAAAAGACCTGAGGCGGCGTAAGCCAACAAACGAACCGGCTTATAACTATCCATGAACCCTAAACCCTATACCCTTATGGAATCTCTATGGATCCCTTTAGGGGGACCCTAATCACCTTACTTCTGACTACCCATGAACCTCCAAGTAATGCCAGCTTAGACTGAGGAGCGATTTCACCTGCGACTGGCAATCGTTTCGGCAGCCGTAGAGCAAGGCCGTCCAGCCGTAGCGGTCCTGCGCTGAGCTTGCGGCTGAAGGGTCAGCCGTTAAACCCAAACTGCAGGGGTTCGGGTCGATTGAGAGTTTAAGGTTGCGGCGTCTATAGGGTAGGAGCTGTAAGTGCTAGGCAACAGGTGGTTTGGGATGTAGGAACGGTTCTGTAGTTCTGGGTCTCAGGCTCTAGAGTCAAGCTTGGTTCAAGAACCAGTAGACACCCAAACCGAACCTATATCCCGATCTATCCTCAAACTCGTCCAGAATGTGTGCAGTTGAAGGCGTTGAGGTTCACCCCAAAATCATGTAAGCAGCTCTGCAGTATGGCCCCCTTTGACTCCTCAAAATGATCGCACGTGCTCCAGGTTAGGAGGCTCCACTCCACATGAGAACGCTGTCAGCCCGAACCCCTTCATTGCCCTTCATATAGGGGCCTTGATCATTAGACTAGGGTTTTGAGGCCCATTATACTACACTTCTAATAAGGAACCCCCCAAAATAGTATAGGTATTTAGTGAGGCCTATATATTATATATTATATCCAGCCAAGCTCACCCTTGCCTTGCGACATCTTGGGACTGTGAGCCTGAGTCTACAAGCCTAAACCCTTAAAGGCCGCACGCTCGAAACCCCCGGAGAGCCCAATACCCCTTAACTAAGGAATATGGCTTCAATTACAAAGGGCTTCATATTATGATTTAGGCCATATTCCTTAATTAAGGCGTATTGGGCTCTCTGGGCCCTAATCCCGACAACCATACACACCGAAAGCTTACCACAGAGACCGAAACCGAAAGCTCTGCACCCCATGACCAGTAGAAATGGCCCTCAAACCCTAGACCCCAAAACTCCCAACCCCCGCTCTACTAGGTAGCGCCTCATTGATCTCAGTGGCCTAACTGCACACAGTCCCATAACGCAGCATGGAAGGGTCCGCAGGGCTTGTGGTAGTGTGTCGGCGCCTAGAACCCTTGGAAAACCCACCTATTGAACCCGTACTAAACTCCACACCAAACCCGCTCCACTATGAGCTCCCTCAACTGCTCCTAAAGCCTTAAAGTAAGCAGGCTACTACTAGGCAAGGCCCTCTAACCCTAAACCATAAACGCCTCCAGCATCCTCTACTTGGAGGTTCATGGGTATTGTAAGTAGGGTTATAAGTCCCCTAATATGAGCTATAAGTATACTTACCCTACTTATAACCCCACTTATAACTGCCCATGAACCTCCAAGATAGGCCCTATAAACCCTATACCCTTAGAGAATCCCTATAGATCCCTTTAAAGGAACCCTTATACCTACCCATGAACCTCCAAGAAACCCTAAAAATCCTAAAACCCAGGAGAGTCCTTCGCCTCAATCTCGGCGCGGCCGTCCAACAACAACTGGAGGCACTCCTGACCACCTGCTTTCTAAGGGGGTTTAGGGTTTAGGGGTAATAAGGGTTGCTAGGATTATAAGAGTAATAAGGGCTATTAGGACTATAAGAGTAAGAAAGGTCCTGACCACCTGCTTTCTCGCTGAAAGTTACAGCTGGTCGGGCTTGTAAGGTTCAAGGGATTACTTGGAGGTTCTATGGGTAGTTATAAGTGGGGTTAAACGTAAGGTAACTATACTTTTAACTCATGTTCAGGGACTTATAACCATACTTATGCCTACCCATGAACCTCCAAGTAGGGAGAGGCTTCAAGATTAAGGCTTGGGGAGTTAAAGGTTTCGAGCTATAGGGTTTCTAGGATTGATACGGTTTGAAGCTACACGGTTTATAGGGTTTCACGTTGGTGCTGAGAGGATTGATGTATACGGATTTATTGGGCAGAGGTGAGGGTTTAAGGGAATCGACGCTGCGGGTCAGGATTGAGCTTTACGTTGTGGCTTAACGGATTCCGGGTTAGAGCTCTATAACCTACTGTAGTCTCCTTTGTAGTTCCTTTTTTGCTAGCAAGTGTTATCATATGGGGAACTTGACCACAAACGATGGGTTACATCAACAAACACGACTTTCAACTGCTTTTTTGAAAAGCACACAGTCGGTAGGCTCGTATGATGTATAGGCCTGAGGGTGCGTAGTATTCAGGGCCTCGCGCTTATAGGGTTTGTAGAACCCCAAGCCCTAAACTCTATACGGTATTCGAGTTCGCCTTAAATCACCCGGCATGTAGGAAATCGTATTGCCAAACCATCGAGTCCCGGCAAAATCCAGGGCCGACCGTGTCACATGCCGAGGCCCCCGGCAAACTCTAAACCCTACGTAATCTCCTTTTGGGGTTCCCGCCCTCAGACCCTACTATCGGGGTCTTCAAAAATTAGAACAAGGTTTGTGAGTAGATTATAATCAGAAACCCTCAGAAATTGAATTAATTATTCATTATTCAAGCTTCTATAGTACCTGTATAGTCTCCGTCGTACTTTCATTCCGTGGTCAGTAAGTTTATGGTGGGGATCCTGAACTCAAAACCAAGGGCGACCTTTTGTCTTACATCTCTCTCAACCCCATACCCTTAACCCTCTGAAACCCCTAAACCCCTACACCCTAAACTCCCAAACCCCCAAACCCTAAACCCCCAAACCCTAAACCCTTTGCCCCAACTAAGCCCTTCAAGACCCTACCCCGAAGCCAATGAAAGCACCTGCACCTCTGGCAGACGCAGCGAACATGAGCGCCGTCTGCCTGGCACTCTCGAGCCCGGGCTCCCCTGACTTCCCCAAAGGGTCCTAGGTACTGTTATGGAGGATCCAAGGGTAAAAGGAGGGACCCTTAATGAGGACCCCTACGTATATACCCTTAATATAGCTATTATATACCCATTATATAGTCCATTAGAGGGTATATTATAGGGGTCCCGATTAAGGGTCCCTCCTTTTCCCCTTTGATTGGATACTTTCCCCAAACCATACTAAGGCTTCCTACTAAGGAACCCTACATTCAACTATATAGGTACTTGCAGGAGCCCTTGAAGGAACCGCAAACTCAAAAACCCTTAAAGGACCTGTAAAGAAACCCTACATTCTTATAGATATAGGTACACTAGATAGGTGCTTCGGGCGCTTTGAGCTTCGGACCTCGTGGATGCATGCAAGGGGGTTACAAAGGATCAGGGACCTCGTAGGGTGAGAATTAAGGTAAACGTAAACCAGGGTTTGCTTGTAAAGTGCCCTGAGGCTCCAACTATGGTAGATGGGCGAAGGGTTTTGGGCTGCAGGGACTTGCGCTATCTCATTCGGACCTTCGTCTCCTTCCTTCGACAACCCTCTCCCCTCATGTAGAGTGCTCTGCTGCTAGTGTCTGAGTTCTTCCCATGCAAGTGTTAACTGTACCTTGAACTCCTTGAACCCAGCATCCATGTTCTTAAACACTTGGCCCTTACACTGGTGATTTTGAGGGTTTGGGGTTTCTACCCTTGCAGCCCTAAATCTTGAACCCTTGAACCCTTACCAACCCTGAAACCCTCAACCTTTAAAACTCTAAATCCCTAGACCTCAAAGCCCAAACCCCTTAAACTCTGAAACCTTACTTGGAGGTTCATGGGTAGTTTTAAGTAAGGTTACAAGTCCACCAATATGAGTTATAAGTATAGTTACCCTACTTATAACCCCACTTATAACTAGGGAGGAGGACGCTGTGGACGCTTGTTTGTTCCACACCGGATCACAACATCAAGCCATCGAAAACATAAAAATGAGCAACACCCATTCAGAAGCAGCCATGGTCACCCCCTTCGAAGACCCACCTTCATGTAGTTTCCTATCCGTATATTACCTTGGTCCAAGGCTCTTTATAGATAGACGCCATATGAAACAGCGCGAATTACGATGTATTCTCGGTAGATTCTATCTTATGGCCTGCTTGCTCCTCATGAAGCTTCTCATGAACCAATGTTAAGCTTACCCGAAAACCTCTGACCAGGATCCGGCCGGGCTTTAATATAACTTATGAGGCACCAGGCGTGGCATTGTGGTACTTTTCGCATGTGCATACACAAGTAGGGTATAGTATAGTAGAGCGTAAGATATAGTATGACATGGTGCCGTATACTGGGGTGTAAGATATAATATGGCATGGTGCCCCGTAATATGGGACAGAACAGTATAGTGCAGTATTGCGACGTACAGTCTAGTTCATCATGTATGTGTAGTATAGCATGATACAGAACGGCTGCATACTGTGCTATAGATACAGATTATGGTAGTCTGATATCATACGAACCTGTTGAATATGAATACTGTAGGTCGAAGGTAGAAGACAGAGATCAGCCTTATGTTCTAGTCTAGTGTATTACAATATGTTGTGATATGACATTGGCAGTAAAGTGCACGATAGCATATTGTAGCGTTGACGCTATATTGCAGTGTGGTATAGCCTACACTATATGGGATACGATAGTCTAGTATAGCATTACCGCAGCATGGTGTAGGAAAAAACATTGTTGCATGGCCCTGTTTACTATGTTTACTATTTTAGGAGGGTATAGTAGAGCATAGCATGATATAGCAAGGTATAGTGCGCTAGCATAGTCTAGCGGATTATAGTCAGGAGTCTAGTGTACTATTCTGCCGTCAGTTCTATAGTGAACTATATAAAGCACGAGCATAGGTCATAGAAAGAACGATTTGCGTGCATGAGCCGAAGAATGTGGTACCATGCACACCACGTATCCACTTACAAGGCTCGGGGTCGACACCACAGGGTATCTGCTCGCAGTACTCTCGGTGCCAAAATGGCGGGGTATATCGCAAGTACGAATTGAGGCTGTGCTTTCTTTGGTAGTGTGTGTTATGTCAACGTATACGATGAGTAAACTGAGTAAAATCACGAGTTCGACTTCCCATTAGGCTAATCTTCTTTCACTGGACTAATCGAAGGGCCTTCAATTGCTTGTATCGGCTGTGCATATGATATGATATACAATGTTTCAATTTAGGTCATTAGAGCATCGCATAGTACAATGTATTAAAGATAAGCATTGACGCCATAATCTAGTATGGTGTAATGCAGTCTAGTATAGCATAGTGCAATGTAGTACCTTTCAATACGGGCAAACCCAGTACAGTAAACTCGAGCATAGATGACGATTAACTATCAAGTATTGAGTGGTACTGTGTCGACTGCTATGCAATGCAATGCGGTATCGTGTAATCCAGCATAGCACAAAGGGGCTTGGTATATGGTAGTGCAACTTACTACATTCAAACATAGTCTAGTCTAGCACCAACGCAATATAGGATAACCTTGGACGTTACAGTGTTGCATAGTTTCGCAATGGTGTAAAAACAAATGGCTACTATAGTATATCAGCGGCGCACCTGTAGTGTGGTTTGGTGGAACAGACTATAGTACATAATTATTGGGAGCCCTATGATCCTGAGCTCTGCAGAATTAAGGTCAACAGGTTTGGAAATGTGGAAAGCCCAATGGAATTCCACATCTCCACATGTACAAAGCTCTGTGGCTTTGGACGCAGCACATGTGGAAAGGTGGAATTCCATTGAGGTTTCCGTTATGTGCCAGACAGACACAATGCTGGGCCCCCTGGGTCCGAGAACCAACATTGCAGGAAACAAATTCTTGGACCCGCTCCGAGAGCCACGCGCCCCGATTTAAAGATTTGGAAAAACTTAAGTGTTTAAATCGGGGCCCCGGCTCCAAGATGGATCCAAGAAACATCTTTCTGCAATCTTGGATCTTGGATCCAGCCGGGGCCCCGACTTAAACACGTAAACAACTTAAGTCGTTAAGTCGGGGCCCCGGCTGGATCCAAGATCCAAAATTGCAGAAAAAAGTTTCTTGGATCCATCTTGGATCCGGGAGGGCCCCGACTTAATGACTTCAAAAAATTAAGTCATTAAGTCAGGGCCCCGGCTGAATCCAAGATCCAAGATTGCAGACAAAAGTTTCTTGGATCTTGGATCTGGGAGGGCCCCCGACTTAATGGCTTAAAAAATTAAGTCATTAAGTCAGGGTCCTGGCTGGATCCAAGATGGATCCAAGAAACTTTTTCCTGCAATCTTGGATCTTGGATCCGGGAGGGCCCCGACTTAATGACTTAAAAAAATTAAGTCATTAAGTCAGGGCCCCGGCTGAATCCAAGATCCAAGATTGCTGACAAAAGTTTCTTGGATCCATCTTGGATCCGGGCGGGGCCCGACTTAATGACTTAAAAAAATAAGTCATTAAGTCAGGGCCCCGGCTGGATCCAAGATGGATCCAAGAAACTTTTTCCTGCAATCTTGGATCTTGGATCCGGGAGGGCCCCGACTTAATGACTTAAACAATTTAAGTCATTAAGTCAGGGCACCGGCTGGGAACACAAGCGACAAGGAAGAAACAAGCGTCCACGGCGTCCCCTTCTGTATAACTAACCATGAACCTCCAAGTAAGACCCCAAGCTGAAAGGTCCGAGGCGCCCCCGCATCGTCGTGGCCGCCACGCTGGCGCCGGATGCCAGGGCGCTGAGGACGCCCTGAAAGTCTTGAACAAGTCTACTTGGGAGTTTCCGAAAATAGGGGACCCTAATATAGTACCCTAGATAGTAGGATCCTGAATATAAGGACCCCAAAATAAGGTACCCCTAGTTGTTCGGGAGGGCTGGCGTGGAGCCGGGGTATGGTGGTTAGGGTTCACAGTGCAACCTTTGAGGTTCCGGTGTAACCATCAAGGTTTGAGGGTTTAGCGTTAAGCCATGGCGCTGTCGGGCCTCGAGGCCATTGCGATTTCTTGCTGCGTCCGTACACTGCTTGAGCTTGGGTTTTCAGGCTTTCCGGTTCGATGCATGGCGCTGCACAAAACGCCGGGGCCACTATGGAGACTTCGCAAGACTGCACGGGGCTTCCCTCTCGCCAGTCACTCTTACACCCTGTGTACCTAGACCCTCCGTCTACCCTCTATTAGACCCTAAATGCCCCTTATTTGGGACCATATACCCCTATTTGAGGGTACAACGAGGGTCCTGGTAATATATTGCAAGCCCTCAACATCCTAAGCCCTGGGGCTTCCTTTCACTTCTTGGCACGACGTTTTCTTGGCGAAGCACGCGCCGCGAGCTGGTTCTTGTGCCAGATCTCGAGAATGATCGAAGGCCTAGAAACTGGCACGGCCTTCCTGCAGCTAGCGATCAAAGGACGGTTTTGGTGGTACTACAGATAGGAATAGGTCTATCTGCGGGTCGACAAACGAACGGCTGGACTGCTGGCAAGCACCTCCGAACCTAAGCTGTATCGGTTGCCGCGAGTCTCCCTTGTGGCGAATCTGCCGACATGCTTTCACACATAGTGACCCGTGCGAAACCTTACGATAACACAGGTGTCAGGAAAACGTCTTCAGAAGGCCAAACTGCAAGCCTGAAGAACCATCCCGTCTTCCATCTCCAGTACGGTCTGAAACATTGCAGCTGCTGAGCCCGAAAGCCCATGGTTCCATTATCATGCTTTCGAAGCATCGGGGCTTCGTACAGGAGTCAATAACTGATTCGCATTAGCCCTCTGAAGCTTCGCTCTACAAGTTGAATAGGGCACATCCCAAAAGCCTGTTGGAATTGCCTAACAGAATATAAAACGTGACGCACAACAACTAGAGCATACTGTCTGTACTACAAGTATGATGTACAAAGCATACTATAGCATACCAGGCCCGCAAATTGCCCATGTTGTGAAAGCAGCACTCGACATGAACTCGCGGGTGCCCTCGGGCTGGATACGTGGAAAGTGGCAGAAGCATGACCGTTCGCGTCGTGTGATGGAGGGGCATTAACAAGTATAAAAGGGTTTTGGGGTGTATTCTCCGAAATGTGAAAAAGGAACCCCAGAATTTTGCAGCCCGAACATACATTATTGCGATGTCAGGCACAGTGCCTGGGGTTTGGCGAAAGGCTAGAGTATTGTGAGTCTGGAGCTTCGCTCTCCCGTGAGAGCTGATATCGATTGTGGGAGTCTCCTTGCTGTGTGGTCGAACACATAAATCTTGTTTTGAACCTCGCCAGCATTCTGAAAGATGTGACATCAAGCCAAATCCCCCCCCACCCCCCACCACCCTCAGCGGTTGTTTTTTGTCTTTACGATTTTGTTGTCGTCCAGTTCTGAACCCTTACCACCAGAAACGCACAAATTGAAACCAACAATTGCCAGTGACACTCCGTGATTGACTGCGATGGGTCATGCCGTCATGCCTACTGCACATAAAAAGCTGTTTGGCCTTCACAGATGCGGCCATTTGACATCTGCCATCATGCCAGCAAAGTAACATGGGGACAGCCACAGCAGTCTCGAGAGACTCCGGTATGGCTTAACTCAGTTGTCAAACGCCCTGTAGATGCCAAATTCATGTAACAAAACAGCTATGCTTGACTGCGGTTTTGCAGACTACGGCTTCTTCTACATGTGCCCTCGTTGAACATGCATGCACAGATGCTACAAGCATGCACACAGACAGCACAGAATCTGGCAATACAAACAAAATCTTAGACATGGCCATTTGTGTTCGTGTGTATCGATTACACATGTCGCGAAGCCATAAGCAAGCAACAATGCGATACGTTGGCGGTTTGGCCAAGGAACACATTAGCTAACCATGCAGGTAGCAGTTGCGCACGTGTGACTGCCGGCACGTATGCACATGGATGCAAGAACCATGCATCTGTGCAGTATTGCACACCCATGGAGATCCACAGATATCTTGCTGATGTGCTCGATCAGTAGTTTAAGGTTCGTCACTTTCTTGTCTTCGGCACTTGTGCTCGTGAATGACCTTGTGCCCCCCTATCAAGGCTTAGCCCCCCCTTACATCTGCCGAGTCTGATCAGCCCTCACCGCGGAAGCACGGAAGCACACACGCCCTAAATGCAAACCCTGAACCCCCACGATAAAGCTCTTATGCCTAGTTGCGGAGTTCATAAGCCCCAAAAAGTGTACACTTCAAGTTCTGGAAGGGCGAATACTAGCCCAAAAAGTCTAAGGTGTACTCACTCAGCTACTGCGTTATAAAGCTCAGAGATTGCAGATATCATTTCAACAAAGTAGGTGCGGCTCATTCTGGAGGCCAGGAACCCGCGATTCAACTGGAGTCCTGGACTTTTAGGCGTTAGGGTGCAGGGTTTCCGAGGTTCGTGGAGATTGAGACTCCTCCCTGTTAGTGAAAACTTACCAGGGATCCGACTTTCTGGATTTGAACAAGCGGGGGTAGGTGCGAATTTGTCTTCATTTTCGACGCAACATGCATATCGTGTCATGTAACAATGTAGGGGCCTTCATTGGTTGAGAAGGGTTTGGAAGTATGTGGAAAAAAAGAAAGGGAACACTTGTGATTACTCATTATTAATTCAAGCGACCCTGAGCAGCTGTGGCCAAAATTCAGTGGGGCCCCGGGCCCCAAGCCGCAAGACGATGAAATGTCACGAACCGGGGGGGAGTTGACTAAACCTGGAGGAACCCCATAAAGAAGTCGTTACTAACAGGAACCCTTAACGATAGAGCCAGGGCGTACCATAAGTGATTTTCATGGAAACTGTGGAGCCTTGACGTGGCAGCTGTAGACGAAAAAGACGTTCACACACCCTCCAGATACCATGTCAAGCCTTAAACCTCACAACCTTAACCCTCAACCGCACAATCACCCCAAAAGGAATACATAGTACTCCTATGCATTTTGGCGATTGAAACGGATGGCCTCCTCAGGGATCTCGGCTGCCCGCCGCGTGGCGCCCGGCCAACCGCCCAAAGACCACGCACCTGGAGTATCAGGTCTACGTATAGACAATGCTCACTGTGTGCTCTTATCAACGTATGCACATACATACATACATACATAGATAGTTACACATACATATACACATATGCATCTTACATATACATGTATAACAACGCTGTAAATGTGAGAACAAATGAACCGGTGTATATGTAGACGCAGTCATTCCGAAATCGAAGTAGCTAGCTACTAGCTATTTGTCCTTGGCCATATGCCCTATATTTTGTCTAGCAGCACAGTGGGGAAGACTATCGCGACGACCTGCCATGCCAGCAAAAGCCGAGAAGCTCCAGCAAGCTATTGCCGCCCAAGCGGTTGTTACCTCGTCGGGGTTAGGGTTTACGGTTCAGGGTTTAGGGTTTAGGATTGAGTGTTCAGGGCTTTTAAGGCTTGGAGGTTAAGGTTTTAGGTCTTGTTTGATGATCCTTTTTAACCCCTGTCTCAGATAGAAGAGGGGCCGGCCGAGCCTACAGGGTGTGGTTGATTTTTCTCTGAACTGAAAGCCGAGGGGCCGTGCACTCCGCCAGTCACCTGCAATGCAGAGACTTCCGGCCGAGAGCTTGAAACACCAGCAGCAGTGGACCTAAACTTGAGACTCCCAGACCCTGAACCCAAATCCTCTGCATCCCTAAACCCTATACCTGCCAGCCGAGTTTACACCGCCAAGGTGTACATCCGAGAACAAGAATATCTTCAAACTCTTCTCGGGACCGCTTCCGCATCCTCCTGTATTGCAGGGGCCCCTAGAGAAGGAACCCATATTTCCTGGAACCCTTTACGGTAAGCGCTAAAGGGCCATAGTATAGGAGCCCTAATGATTAGAATAGAGGTTTGGGGCCCATTATACTATAGATATAGTAACGAACCCTCAAAATTGTAGATGCAATTTTTTAAGGCCCCCATATTCCACCGTAAACCCCGCTGCCTCCCCGGCACCAAAGAGCCCCGGGATGGGAACATCGTCCTCGCGCAGGACCTCCGGATTCATTGGGTGTCAGGCTTTACGGGGTCTAAAGGTTTTTAGAGTTTACGGGGCTGATAGGGTTTAGGGTTTACAAGGTTTTTTCCCGAAAGCTTCGCGAAGGGTTCTTCCGTGTGGAACGCCGCAGTTGAGTACATAGATGACAGACATAGAATCAACTTACTTGACTCCATACTTTACATTACACTTGATACTTGACTCTACACTTGATACTTACTTACTTACTTGTGACTTACTCTGTGACTTACTCTGTGACTTACTCTGTGACTTACTCTTGACTTACTCTGTGACTTACTCTGTGACTTACTCTGTGACTTACTCTTGACTTACTCTGTGACTTACTCTGTGACTTACTCTCTGACTTACTTACTCTCTGACTTACTCTGTACCTCTCTACATACTCTCTACATCTCGTGACTTACTCTTGACTTACTCTGTGATTTACTCTGTGACTTACTCTCTGACTTACTCTCTGACTTACTCTCTGACTTACTCTCTACCTCTCTACATACTCTCTACATCTCGGTATCTAAATCTCTCTTCTAAAGCCAGGGGTGGCACCGTCGTCGTCCATCGGGAATGCAACCCTTCCCAAGGATTCGCCTCCTCGAGCGCCCAAACGCTAGGTAAAGTTACACATTTTAGGCGCCCGGCGCAACCCTTCCCAGGGATTCGCTGCCTCGGGCGTTCAAACGCTAGGTAAAGTGACACATTTTAGGCGCACCGCGCAACCCTTCCCAGGGATTCGCTGCCTCGGGCGTTCAAACGCTAGGTAAAGTGACACATTTTAGGCGCACCGCGCAACCCTTCCCAGGGATTCGCTGCCTCGGGCGTTCAAACGCGAGGTAAAGTTACACATTTTAGGGTTCCCGCGCAACCCTTCCCAGGGATTGGAACTCTCGGGCGTTCAAACGCGAGGTAAAGTTACACATTTTGCGGTGCCCGCGCAACCCTTCACAGGGATTCGCCTCCTCGGGCGTTCAAACGCGAGGTAAAGTTACACTTCTTGCGGGCGCCGCGCAACCCTTCACAGGGATTCGCCTCCTCGGGCGTTCAAACGCGAGGTAAAGTTACACTTCTTGCGGGCGCCGCGCAACCCTTCACAGGGTTTGGGTGCAGTTCATTTTTTTTTGCAACCCTTCACAGGGATTTGCATTTTGCAACCCTTCACAGGGATTGGCGTGGTCGGGTGTTCGAACGCGAGGTAAAGTTGCATTTTTTGATGTGCATTGAAATGAATTTTGCAACCCTTCACAGGGATTGGCGTGGTCGAGTGTTCGAACGCGAGGTAAAGTTGCAATTTTTTATGTGCATTGAGATGAATTTTGCAACCCTTCACAGGGATTGGCGTGGTCGAGTGTTCGAACGCGAGGCAAAGTTGCAATTTTTGATGTGCATTGAAATGAATTTTGCAACCCTTCACAGGGATTGGCGTGGTCGAGTGTTCGAACGCGAGGTAAAGTTGCAATTTTTGATGTGCATTGAGATGAATTTTGCAACCCTTCACACAGATTGGCGTTGTCGAGTGTTCGAACGCGAGGTAAAGTTATTACTTTTGATGTGCATTGAGGTGAAACTTGCAACCCTTCACAGAAATTGGCGTTGTCGAGTGTTCGAACTAGTACTAGTACTACTACTACCACTACCACTACTACAACTATTATTACTACTACTACTGCTACTACTACCACTACTACAAAAGAATACTACTACTACTACTACTACTGCTACTACTACTAGTACTACTACTACTACTACCACTACTACTACTACTACTACTACTACTACTACTACTACTACTACTACTGTACCACAACAACAACTACAACTACTACAACAACTACTACTACTACTACTACTACGACTACGACTGCGACTACGCGACGACGACTACTACTACAACTACTACGACTACCACTACTATCACTACTACTAGTACTGGTACTGCTAGTACTACTACTACTACTACTACTACTACTGCTGCGACATAAAGTGACCATGCATAGAGTCATAGAGTCACGTTGAAACCACAGTAATCAGGGATGTCTATATAGTGAGGTTCCGGAGCTAGGAAAGGAAGACTTCTGCGTCATGTTGGACTATACTCTAAACCCGCTAAACCTGAACATTAGTGTTCATAGAGTGAACTACATCAAGTCAAGTGCGTGGTACATAGATGACTCCATGACTCTATGACTCTTTCTCACTCTGACGCTATGACTCTATAACACTATGACTCTATGATTCTGTCTCACTGTGACTCTATGACTCTATATGACTCTATGACTCTTTGAACTATGACTTGTGCTTGACATGTACTCGACTCTATTTCTCGATGACTCTATGAACTATGACTTGTACGACTCTTGACTGTATGTGACACTCCGACTCTGTGACTCCGTGCTTTTGACTCGGTGACTCTATGACCCTATACACTGGATTCTATGACGTAGCGTAACACTCTTCGCTGATGATGCTTTCGGGCCAATTGTCTTCTAGTTGGGTATACGGGGTTTTCCGGGCGTAGGGTTTATAGGGTTCAGGGTTTACAGGGTTTAGGGTGTACAGGGTTTAGGGTTTATAGGGTTTAGGGCTTAGGGTTTACAGGGTTTAGAGGGTATACAGGGTTTACAGGGCTTAGGGTTTATAGGGTTTAGGGTTTAGGGTTTACAGGGTTTAGGGTTTATAGGGTTTACAGGGTTTAGGGCTCATAGGGTTTAGGGTTTACAGGGTATATAAGGTTTACAGGGGTTTACAGGGTTTAGGGTTTACAGAGTATATAGGGTTTACAGGGTTTAGGGCTTATAGGGTTTAGGGTTTAGGTTTATAGGGCTTACAGGGTTTAGGGTTTATAGGGTTTAAGGTTTACAGGGTTTATAGGGTTTAGGGTTTATGGGGTTTAGGGTTTATAGGGTTTACCTATGGTCTCCATTGTGTTTCCTTTCTGGGTTGCAATACAGGCAGGATCCTAAATACACAGTTGGTGAAACCGAAAGAAGGAGCTGGAGGCCCTTGTAATTTGAGGGTTTGCAGCATTTTGGCTTTGGGGTTCAGGCTTAGTCTCTAACCCTGGCAGTTTCACCCATGCCTGCGCCAATTCGGGGAGCTGATAAACTTCTAACTATAGTCTCCATTGTAGTTTCTTTTTTAGCTGCACCAATTATATAATAGTTTGGACCCCACAAAGTAATCCCAAAGAGAAACTACAATGGAGACTACAGGTAGTGCATGTCCACATGACTACTCAACCAAACCATGGTTTGAAAGCTACGCCGATCCGGAGTCAAAGAGCGAGCTTCCCCGCTGTATGGTGTTTGGGTTAAGTGAAAGAATCATTGATTCTTTCACTTAACCTAAACACCATACGTCATAGAGGCTCCATAAACCCTAATTAAACCCTAAACCCCAAACCCCGAAATTCTAAAGCTACTACAACTCGTCGAAACCTGCACGTTGTTATTGGGCTTAGAGCTTAGGGTTGTTCTCGGGGGTTCAGACACACCGGCACCAGGGCTGCGACACCCTTCGAGGCTAGAGCCCACTGAACCCCAGTAGCCCCTTGATACTATGGGTACCCCTTTTCCGTACTATTTGGCTTCAATAAGGGAACCCCAAAAGAAAAAGGGCAAACGGGTACTACTGGGGAAGCTATGAATATCTTGTCGTGAACCCTGAGAGCCCCAAAAGTTGCAAGGGGCGACCTCGCCTCTGCATGCTCATTGATGGCAAGTCCGCCCATGCCTTGGCGAGGTAGCGGCTAACATAGGGGCCTTGATAAATAGAATAGAGAGGTGGCATATCTTGAAGAAAGAACCAACTATAGAGAAAGTTTCAGGAACACTATAATGGTTCAATACCAGCAACACTTGGTGCCTGCACCAAGACCGTGATCAGAAGACAAGGCCATCCTAAACCATGAGTGTCGGGACTTGCATGGAGCCTGAAGCCATGGCAGGATACCCATCACTGCGAAGGGGACGCTTATGTAATTAGAGACCGAAACCTGCCCTACCACAACATGAGTCTTGAGCCTCACCCAAAAGTGCTCCCTGCCATGAGGCAGTAGTGCAGCGTCGGCGTGGTGAAGGCCACGTAGAAGTGCGCATCCTCCGGAAACCTGACCTGTGTCGGGTGTGCGGCAGAGGTCTGCAACTTGACTTAGCAATGATATCATAACCTCAAATACACCACAATCCCAGGCAGCATCTCTGCGTGCTTTTGGTGGTGGGATTGTCCGCTTCTGGCTTCGTCCACTGCTCGAGTCTGCAACAGTGCCGACTTCGTAAGCGTGGTTGGGTTTTTTGCTTCAGGTTGATATTGATGTAGCTGCCCCACCCCTGGCAGCAGCAGCAGCAGGAGCAGAGTAGCAATAGCGAAATCATTCCGTTCAGTGTCCGATGACATCGTTTACGAACATCCAGAGGCCGTGCCGGCTTAGGGTCTGATTTTGCGGTCTTAGGGCCAAGTTTAGGGTTTACTCATCCCAGAGTCCCTGTTGTCCATGAAAGCAACACGGATGAGAACAACCAATTTTGTAGCAGAAGAGACCAAACAAGATGCTAACACAAATCCTAACCAGGTCGACGTAAAGGAAGCTAACGATCTGACAGAGACCCACTCCTAAGCCGATGCGGAAAGTGCTCTCCCTTATTGTAAATCCTGAACTATGAAACATGCCACTATACTATCTTATGTAAACATTTTTTGAACCAGCTTCCGCCACTCCCGCCCTGCGGCCAAGCTTCCGGAAAGACCGTCTTGCCAAACTCATCGACACCCTTCTCTGCAGAGCGGTTGTATCTCAGCGTCAAGTAGCCCGGCTCAGGAACACGTGGCTGAAGAGTGCCAGGGGAGTGTAATTATGAGGCTCGGGAGTTCTCGAGTGGCCCTTTCAAAGGCTCTTTGCAATCAGAGTCCCGGGGGAACTAAACGACCTTGCTGGCAAAACCATTCAGTTCAGTGTTTCAATGCTGAAACCACAAAGCCTAACCCTGAAAGCGCAAAGTAACTCCGGTTGGTTGGTCAGTTGCATGACTCATCCACTTCCTCAATCTACCGAGCATGGACAACGACCTGCATTCGAAGCCGTTAGCTCGAAATCACGACCAGATGCTTCGACCACTGATCACAGGCCGTCCCTCGGCCTCCAAATCGCAGAGTCAGGGCTTGGGGTTTAAGGGTTTAGCGCCGCAAGACGAACAACCAAAATGATCGTCGGACTCTACTTCTGCCAGGACACTCTGCCAGGGTCTGCCGCAGCACAGCCGCGTCCACCCCCATCCTCAGATGTCGCTCCAACCGTCTTTAAGCCATACTGGCATCAACCTCCCCTATACATACACCTGCCTGAAGCCGAAAACCCCTTGCCTTATTATGGTATCGATATATATATATATATATATATATATATATAGATATATTCCCCTAGGGCACCAGTTGGGCTCCAGTTACCTGTAAATAGTGGGTTGCTAACAATACTTTCTGTACCCCAGTAGCCTACAATTTGGGTAACTGGAGCCCTTGGGATCCAAAACCCTAAACCCTAAATGCTAAAATCCTGATATCCCTAAACCCTAAATCCCTCAATCCCTAAACCCTAAATCCTTGAAACCGTAAATCCCCATAATTCCATTAAGAGGTCGGAATTTTTTGGCTCAAAGGTCACGGAAGCATCGATTTCTACACCTCCACGGCAGCTTGTGCTCCCCACAAAAGCCTCTGAAGTCGGGTTTAGGGTTTGGGGTTTAGGGTAGGGGATTTGGGGTTTCGGGTTCAGGGCTTTGGGGTTTAGGGTTCAGGATTTAGGGACTCTGAAGTTGATCCTCCAGGGCGAAATTGTCAAAGAGCTTTGTGGCAGCGTTTTCCAGGGTCTCGACGTCCTGGTAGGCTTGCAGTCGATAGGTAAGTTGTGGTCATTGCCCCAAGTTCGAGGATTGCGAGAATTTCGAAGCTGAAGTAAACTCTCCAAGATCCGGACTAGAATGGGCTAGACCCGAAGGTCACTTGAGGTTTACAGCTTCTGTCAGCATTGGCACGGAAAACTGACATAGAAAGATTGGACAAGCCCACCTAACATATAGACTCCAAAGATATGCCCTGAAACCTCAAACCCTAAAATCCTGAAGCCGGAGATTGAGTCACAAGCGCCAGGTCTCAAAGTTTTGAACCCTCATAGGGGCAACTCTCGACTTGTTCCAACACTCCCATCTCTTCTCTTTTCCTGTACGAGAACGGCTTCTGGGGTCATTGCATAAATTGAGAACTTGGGTAGTAAGTACTGCCTCATCTACAGCATGGGCTGTGTCTCACGACTTCAGGAAAGCCCTGCAGCTGAACGAGGCCTGAATCTTCAAGACCTGAAGCCCTCCAGCCCCACACCCTCGAACGCACATCCGAAACTCAGGAATCCTCTATAAAGGACTCGAAATACGAACCCTAATCATCTGGGTTGTAGTTTTGGGGCTCTGAGAAGTATTTATGCATAGGTACCTCTATAGGAACCATAAGGGAAATTAAAAAGTTTCCCAAATTGCCACCTAATCATCCGGCAGAACTTCAACCCAAACCCCTTCAGCACGGAAGGGTCCTCAACGAGGCCCTTGAACTTGTAGAAGCCCATCGAGCTGGCCCCGTACCTACTGCACAGCTTGTTGCAGCAATCGGCATAATTATAGGGTGTGCAGCTTACGATTATGACTGATTACTTGTGTGAGACATCGTTTCTGTAAGGTTTCGGGCTCAAGGTTCAGGGCTTCTGGCAAATCTTCGGTGCGTGAGCGGGCAGTTGTATTTCGCGTCTTGCTGAATCAATGAGACCTCGGCTTCAATTCAAGGATTTCGGACTTCAAAGTTGACCGTATCGATGCGTGGAGTACGCGGCGACGGGGATAACGTTTCGGCATGCTTGGCTGGGCTGCTCCACAAGGCGCAACAACATAAAACGGCAACTATTCCCATGTTCAGCTGAGCTGCTTGTCGACAGCCTCCTGTGTCAGCAGCATCGCTGCTGCTATAGGGAACCTGTCCGATATCAGTTGGGGCACTCCCCCCACCCTGCAACAGTTTATAAGGAGTCATATCAAGGGCTGTATGTATGTATGTATGTATGTATATATACAGATATATAAGCAAATGTATATATGTATGATGCATACTATCCAACTGTTACGGAGTGGGGGGCAGCATCCAAGATATCAGGTTGAGCAGTTGCAGGCCACAAGGCTAAGGATTTAAGCAAGGGCAAGTCGAGTGGGACATGGCTCCAGGTGGGCTGCTTAAAGGATCATGGGACTTAGTAACTAGGGTTCCTTTAAGGGCTCCTTTAAAGGGATCTATAGGGGTTCCTTAAAGGGGTCTATACAGTTTAGGGTTTATAGAGTCTACTTAAAGGATCAGGGGACTTAGTAACTAGGGTTATAATTCGGGTACCTATACTAATGACTTCTTATAACCCCAATTAAGGTACTTATAACCTTACTGACTAAGTCCCATGATCCTCCAAGTGCACAGCGAGAAACCCTAGCTCTAACCTTGGGTGCTGCTCCCCACACTGTAACAGTCCATAGCAGTAGGGGTCATGTTAAGAGCTACACATGGTCACATCATAAATATTATCAACTGTTACAGAGTGGAGCAACCGGAAAGGTTTTAGTCACCATCATTTCCTGTAATGAGACAATAGTGAGACTTGAATGCATGCCAAGACAATCATGACAGTTGAGTGTGGCTTCGGAAGAGATGCTACAACACGGCAAGTTCCCTGCACAACCTGCACAACGTACATACATGACTCACAAGACCGGGAAAGACAGTAAACTAGATGCCCACCAGAATCCCGAAGGCACAAACGAAAACAACAAAACAACGGTAACGTCTGGCTCAACCTCAAGTTTTCGGGCCGAGAAGGGGCATTGGCCAGCCCTTTCGTGGAGCCGAAACGGGTCTTCGGGCCGACTTTGCAGAACCTAAACCCTAATCCTACACGCGAATGCTATACTCCGCGGTTTAAGTTCCATCTTGCTCCACACTCCGAGCTCCGGGCCCTGGATTTCCCTGAAGAGGCGTGCAATGCTCGAAGACCTCCTTCGTGAGGTAGTCCCGCCTCGTCACAGGCCGGGCAGTGTGTTTGTCCTGGATACAAATACCTACGATGTTCCTGACTGTTGGTGTCTAGTGGGCCTTCTTTTGGGTTTTGGGTCTTTGGCTTCTAGTTCGGTTAACTACGTTTCGGGCTGTTCGGATCTAAGCCCTAAACTCAAAACCCCAAACCCTAAACCCCAACCCTGGACCCCAAGCCCTGAACCCAAAACCCAAGACCCGGAACCCTAAGCCGTTGCGGGATGCTAGGATCTATTACTTGGAGGATCATGGGACTTACTAAGTAAGGTTATAAGTACCTTAATTGGGGTTATAAGAAGTCATTAGTATAGGTACCCGAATTATAACCCTAGTTACTAAGTCCCCTGATCCTTTAAGTAGACTCTATAAACCCTAAACTGTATAGACCCCTTTAAGGAACCCCTATAGATCCCTTTAAAGGAGCCCTTAAAGGAACCCTAGTTACTAAGTCCCATGATCCTTTAAGTACGGTTTGGGGACTTAGGGTGAGCCTTGGCCCTGGCAGACCCAAAGGGCCTTTGCGACTGCTACAGGGGATACTGTCCTAAACCAAATTACCCAGCGGCCCCAAAGTAGTTCCTTTTGGGGGTTACTCTACGGGATTCTATATATGATATATGAACCCCAAAAAGGAACTGCTTTGGGGCCTTTGGGTAGTAATTCCTATGAAACCCGACCTTCGACTGTATTCGGATACTTGGCTCCCTGTGGGCTAAGACGGTCTTACCCACCTGAACGCCGTGCTCGTGGCTTTCTTGTGATATGAACGCCTTCCAAGCACCCCTCGCCAAAAGCCTAAACCGTATGAACTCCGTATACCCCGAACCAGAGCTACAACCCGGTGAAGAACAGCGGCATGGGTTTAGGGTAGCTAAGGGCTCAGGGTGCTCAGGGGAGTTCGGGTAGTTACTGTAGAAGGCTTAATAAGTAGAACAAGATTTGGGGACATGTTAGAGTCCTAGAGTATGAGCCCAAAGCCAAAAGGCGCAGCCTCCCGAGCTCGTTGGCAAAGCGCTTGCCGCCGCAGAGGAGGATAGCGCCGCAGCCTTCGGCAAAGGGGCTTCGGATGACATAGGCTAGGGTGCTTAGGGTTTAATACTCATATAACAGCTATACTTGGGTTTAACGCTTTAACACATATTAATACATACTAACACTTGTCACAAAAACGACTTGCAATAATAACAAGCTTAAACAGTTACACAATCTAGGCCTAATGCCTTTAACATTACTACTGTGAATTTCATAATGTTCGCCCTCTGACTTGGGGTTCGTGGAATTTGAGGGACACTGGTTTTCAAGTTGGCGGTGCAATCAGGATTCAAGAGCATGTCGGCTCATCGAAACAGCTCTGCACTACTTTGCAGAGAGAGTTGTGTTGGGATTTCCCCCTAAACCCTAAACCCTAAAACCCTAAACCCTAAACCCTAAAACCCTAAACCCTAAACCCTAGACCCTCTGCTGTGTCGGGGCTGCTGAGCTTGTGCAGAGTACCGGATCGGACAGGTGGGACATGATTTGGAACTACTCACTGGCTCAAAACCCAGGGAAATGAAAGTTGAAACTCTCAGAATCGACTACCTTATAAGAGCCCCCAAAGTTGAAAAGTTGAGTTTGCAGCCAATAAGACTATCTAGGGCTTCGTTCGGGGCTTACGTCTTCAAACCCTCGAAACCGATGGCATAGCGTTGAGGTTTAGTCTGTTCTGGCATCCACAAGGTTCCGGGTGCAGCCTGCGTAGTAACTTGGTGATTCCGGAGGGCTAGGGCTTTGGGCTCATGGCCTGCGCTCCCGCAAAGCGGTAGGACATTGCCTACCAGCTCTGGCATGCGAGGCCCGCTGGCTCACCAAACACCAAACTACGATTCATCCAATTTAGACGGCCATAGAATTCGGCAGCTTCGATCATTATATTCGGAGATGATTACTTGGGATTCGCTGAACAAAAAACGACCCGCTTGCCTCGAAGTGCTTCCGGTGCAAGGAATTTGGTGTGGAAGTTCGGCTGCTTTACTTCCAGAAATCCTTGCGAAGAACGGTGGGTGCAGGGTTTGGCTTTCAACCTTCGGGCCCTGACAATCCCTAGGCCCAGGGTTACGCCGCCGAGCTTATGCCCTAAAGCAGCATGATTCTGAAATTTGGCCAAGCACGGCAATCTTAAAGAGGTTGTGATGCCCAGATGTGCATGCTGCACCAACATGCACATTCGACAGACATGGGTTCTACAGCTAAAATAAGCTATGGCACTGAAGTGTTACCAACATTGTATAGTGTCCTGTAAAATCTGGCAACATAGCACCAACACTCTATTCCAAATACCAGGGCTTCCGCAATATGATGCTCTCTAAAAAACCCCTTACAAGCCCCATGACTCCCGTAGAGAACCCCTTTCCAGGGATCCTATTCAAACTATTCGAGCCTGTGTTCACCCAAGTTCCACCCTGGACTCCCAGCCTGTGGGGTGGATTTGGACCTTGTCCATCAGCGTCGTCTGGGCCCCGAGGTCCTGTTTCTACAGATCTTGCAAATGTGTCTCCGAGGTGCATGTTTCGTTTTTTTTTCAAGAAGACCCAACCAAGATGTCTGTGGTTTGGGAGTAGGCTCTCTCAGGGCTTTCAAGGGTCCTTGGCGAAAATTGACTGACACAAAACCGTTTCCACCTCCAAACCCCGACCCCGCGCCCACACCGAAAGGGTCTCCGTGGAAGGGTCATTTGGTCCCGAACAACCATGGACTCGGAGATATCAATGAAGAGCTTTCGCGGTCTTGGTTGTTTTCAGGGTTTAGGGTTTGGGGGTGGGCGGGGTCAATTAGGAGTCAGGGTTTAGGAATCAAGGTTGCTTTTTGGGCGGAGGCTCCTTTCAGGATTCAGGGTTTAGAGCTCCGGGGTTTAAGTCTGTTGCGGCTTTCACGGACGCCAAGCAACCTGCATGTCTGAGCCTCCTTATCATAGATCCCCTTACATACAAGTACGTCATTCAAAAGCTTGGCTTTCTAGGGCAGTTTAGGGCTTGACCTCATGATAGTGAAGTTTGTGCAGTCTGTGATGACACCCCCTGGCGGGAACATCCAATGTTCCGTGCCGTTTGTACGAACACATTCTCTTGTTCTTGGCGCAGAAGGATACGACATTTTCGGTCGGAGAGTTGCCTCACACTACGAATTTCAATACGCCAACCTCTGTGCATGTCACGTCCTCGGCTACACTCAAGCGACCCGGTCCTGTTGGAGAAGGGCCTTGATAACGTCGCCTGTTGCGAAAGGCCCGTTCCTCGAAGAGCGCGGAAGTGTAGTGCTTGGCGCGTGGAAGGGCTTAGGGTTTCGGAAACGGGACGATGTGCTTCAGGATGCTATGCTGCTGGTCTCGTGATGGCGGTGTTCCGCCAAGACTCTAGGAAAAAAATAACGTGGATGTGAGAACTACTCTCAACATGTACAAGAGACTCCAAACCCTGAGTCCTGCGGCGACGTTAACCGTGAACTCGGCAATTCGACTCAAAGTCCTGCAACCCCGGAAACCCCCTGAACCTGTAAACCCCAAACCCTAAACCCCTAAACCCCTAAGTCTCTTACCCTTTGTTCCCCTATTAGACCCCCCTTCCCCCGAACCCCCATTCCCCCACCCTGTTATCCCCCCTTTCAAGTCCGAAGCCAAGGGTCGTGGTCGGCAGTTTGGCAAGCTCCGGAGTGAAGCGGTCCAGTAGGGAACGGTCCTCGAACCGAAGGGTGATCGGTGATGTAGGTGCTTCTTAATGGGCCTTTACCTTTATCGTCGCCTGCGCTCCGAAGCCCATTTAGTAGCATGCAAAATTCGGTGATGTCGGGTTTAGGGCTTAGGGTTCAGGGTGTATGTATGTATGCATGGATCAGTAGCTAGGTAGTTAGTCGCTGACATGTTCTATGTGTACATAACTCATCGGTGCTCATGAATATGTGTACAGATGTGTCACTGTGTATACACATGTAAACATGTATACATCTGCACATATATATATATATATATACACACACATACACACACACATGTACATCTCTCTCTCTCTCTCTCTCTCTCTCTCTCTCTCGTTCTCATCGACAACTGTGGTGTTAAGCAGAATTGCTCTGGCGCAGTGCAGTGTGCATCGCGGCTAAGCTTTGGATTGAGATCCTGTGTCCTGCCAGGTGCGAACTACATAAGTTCGTAATGCTTGCCTAGTACGGCTCGTGTCATTATGACTGCCTGTCATCAATAGCTACGAGGATTGCCCCTTCAGGTCTTGGTATGCTTGATGCAGGCTTTGCCTCCTGGCCAGTCCGGCAGATGTCTATCCTCAACCTGGCTTCAAGTGTCACTTAGGAACTTGAAAAGCCCTGGCAATCCGACAAGTGCTGTGTCTGCATCCATGCTCAGTCACATGGATGCGGCTGCTGCTGCAGCTGCTTGTAATATCCGAAAAGCAGTCCTGGTGGTCGTTCGCATAGCCTGCTCATTTTGCAAGGGTGCATGGTCTGGGTGCGGGGCTCTTTGCCTACAGGGTTTGAGATTCCAGCGCAAGCATTCTGAATTCCGGAGCTCCTGCAAACCAAGAACCTGAAACACTAGACACATGGAGTTCATGAGGCGCCCAAACGTCGAAGCTCGAAACGCCGTCTCCGTCTCCATCCATCTGTCACTGTCTATCCGTCGTCTGTCTTTTCTTTCCTTCTCCCTCCCTCGCCCAATCTCTCCCAATCTCTCTCTCAGGGGCTAAGTCCCGAATAACCTATACCAACAAAACACCACAACCCCAAATCCTAAACACTGTGGCTTTCGCTTTGGAGCCAACTACGCCACCGCCAGGCCCAGGCACCCAGAGCCTCCAAAACCCCTTAATTAAGGAATATACCTTAAATTATAATAGGATGCCTTATATGATTTAAGGTATATTCCTTAATTAAGGGGTTTTGGAGGCTCTGGGCAGGGCCGCCGCCTCCCGCAGCGAGCACCACCGTGCCAAAGAGACCTGGGGCTCACGGTATACGGGGTTCCTGTAACGGAGTTGAAGTTAAAGTTAGTAGGCCATAATGAGGGTTCCTGTAAGGGTTCTATAGTATCTTAGTAGAATGTAGTAGAATCCAGAAAGTTAGAACATCAATATCCTCATGCCCGTAAGGTAAGGTATAGGGGATCCTAGCACCGGTCACCAATCCTCCTAACCAATGTTCCAACTTTCTGGGCTCACTGTACTGGGTTTCTGCAACGGAATTTACGTTTAAGTTAATTTGCCATAATTTATAGGGAAGGCTCCTGTAAGGGTTCTATACAGGAAACGAGACGGTTCCTTCTCAGCGGCGGCTGAGAGCTAAGGATGTTGATGGTTTTGCGTTTTCGCCAAGGATTTCTAGCAGAAGCCCGAAAGTTGGAACATGAATAGCTTCATGACCCTAATGTCGAGGGAATCCCAGCACTCATCACTTTAGCTTGGGCAGAAGGATGTGTGTCGGAAGCTACTCGAAACTGGCAGCAACCTTTGAGGCATCAAGCATGGAAGCTCGTTGGCCTGATCTCTATTATAGGAGCCGCAATCATTAGAATAGGGTTTTGGGGCCCATTATAGTATACTTGTAAAAAGGAACCCCCAAACTAGTATTAGCAATTATTTAAGCCCAAGAGTATTCTATCAGCCTTACATTCGCCCAGAAGATTTGAGAAGTTAGGTTGGATTTAGGGCTTAGGGTTTGGGGTGCAGGCTTGCATAGGGTTTAGGGTGCAGACTTGCATACAGGAATGATCGTACGTCTACACTCTAAACTAACCAAACAGAATAGAGATGGCAGCCGAAGCGGCTGTGCGTAGTGCCCGCTTCGTCGGAATACTTCAAACCCACTGCCCGTCGTCCCTCCATGATCAGCTCCTCAGGTCGCGTTCTGTCCGTTGAATGTCTTAGTAGAGCATCGACTGCAAGTCTTGCAATTGCCAAAAGAGACCTGGTACGCTGTGGGCCCAAGGATTTCATGAGCTGAGACGCCCTCGATCTGACAGTCCCGATAAGGATGGCCCCGTTATGCACTGCTGAGACGGAGAAACCCTCAAAGACCCTAACCGCGCAAACCCTAAACCCTAAACCCCAAACCCTGAACCTGTAACCGCCAAACAAATTTTCTGATCCTTCCGATGCCCACTAAATAAGCCGTGCCCTCCTGAAAGGCCGACTTCGTGTGCACCCGGACCGAGTCTTTGAGATCCGTTTCGATAATCTTCCTGCTGAGCACTTGTGTGTTTAGGGATTTACAGTTTAGGCTAGGATGCCCCGTAGCCTAGGAATAACAAGGGCTCCCTTTTGGGTATTAGGTAACTTTGTAAGGAACCTATGACTACAATCGGGAATAAGGGTACTATAGGGTTTCAGGTTCAGGGCTTAGAGATTGTTTAGGGTTCGCGCCTTTCTTTGATGGCGGGTTTCGGGGCCATAGGAAGAGGTTCAGAACTCAAACGATGCTCATTGAAATGAACAAATGTTTACTGTTATTGCTTCTGTTGTTAAGGTGTTGTGAACTCGACCCCTCTCCTAGAGCGTTCTGCAACTCAGCTTGCGAGATTCTGTGGCTTACTCACTCGCATCGGAGTCAAGGTGTTTCAGGCAAATTTGCTGTAAGGTTCCGCGCTCGCTTGCTGATCTCTGGCTGAGTGCCCTACTTCTGCCACGGTTCGAAAGGTAAGACGGGAGAAATGGCACGCTTACGAAGGGAAAGCTGTGCCGTGCTTTCTGGGACATGGGGGCGACAGCACTGCGCAAGTCAGAAACCTCAAACAATCCTATGCACCCTCCTAAACTCCTATAAACCTTGAACCATAAACCCTACAAGCCCTAAATCATACGAACCTATGCCATACCTCAGCTTGAAGTATTCAGCATACACTTTGCAAGCCATGTCCTGAGGCTGCTAATCAGCGTCCATCCGACAGGCTGCGGCTTGCCCTCTGCAGTGTGAGGGAAGCGATGCGTGCCTTGGAAGGTGGTCCGGGTTCGGGTGATTATAGGGCTGAGGCTATGGGGGCCTTCCCGATGAGGCGATGTCAGCATGGTAGTACCACACAAACTTCGTATGTGCGCCAAAAGCTGCGACCGTAAGGAAGCACATGTTGGGAACTCTGTATACATACATATATATATATATATATGTATTATACAAACACATACTTATGTACAGCATGCACACAGGGCAACCGTGCTCGTCACAGTGATCAGGGTTGCTTGAGCGACCACATGAAGCGCTGTACAGCCTGTACCAATCAACCCCAAACCCTGCACCTCGACCTTAACGGACCCCAAGCCCTGTGCCCTAAACCCTGAACCCTCAACCCGAAACCCAAAAGACCCGACAGACTAGACCCTATATAAACTGCACTAAACCCTAAGCAATAAGCCGCTACCAGCCAGGGGACGCTGCGTGCTGTGGCCACCGAGCTGAACAACATCAGTCAGCCCGAGGCCTTTTGAGAAGGCTTTCTTTTTGGACTCTTGGGGTGTGGATGTCAGGGCTTAGGATTTAGGGCTTATAGGGTGTAGGGTTTAGTGTTTATAGGGTTTAGGCTTTAGGGTTTATAGGGTTTAGGGTTTATAGGGTTTAGGGTTTAGGGCTTATAGGGTTTATGACTTAGGGTGCCCTGCCCTGCCCTGTCCCCTGTAGAATCGAATGTTAAGGTCTTGAGAGGGGTGAGACTATGCACTCCGGGGTATAGGCTGCTGAGCTTCAAGGTTTTACGGGGCGCTAAGTCCTCAGCAGGCTTGTTTCCTGTAATATAGGGGCCATAATAATTAGAATAGGGCTTTGAGGCCCATTATACTGTTATTATCATAAGGAACCCCCAAGATAGTATAGGTAATTATTCAGGCCCATATAGTATTTCAACAACTTGTGGCCCTGAACTTGCAAGGAAACGAGTACCACAGACAGCTGATCAAGCGCTGAAGGATCAGATTCACAACATGGGGCGGGATGGATAGGGTGCTGCAGTTGAGACAACATCCGGCTTGTTCTCTAAATTATGGCACATTCGTTGGGGATCCACCCAGAAACAGCATGAGAGGGATAGAGGAAGGCATAGTTGTCCTCAGGGCCATTGGTTCGCGATCTTCTGATCAAAGTCTCGCCAACACGGTGCAGCAATAATGGGTGGTCAGGCATTCATGTTAGGGGCGTCAAAATACTATGAGGAGTATATTCCAGGGCTCCATCCTCTCACTGGTTCCAAAGTGCCCACCCGAGCTTCATTTTCTTCTAGGACTCGTCGGACTGTGCCGAGAAAGCCAGTGCAGGCGAAGGTGCGAAGCAAACATGAAGCCGTTCCCCTAGACCTCCAGTTGCCTAAATTGTAGGTTACTGGGGCACATAATATATGTTTAGTAACCTATTGTTTAAGTAACTAGAGCCCTAGGTTCAACTACTAAAGACTGCAACAAAACCCACGCAGTGCAAACCACATCGCACTTGGCTGCTCTTGAGTCTTTGCCTTGCAGCCCCGCAGGCCTGATTTGATCTGAACCAGAACCTCTCTCAAACCTAGCAAGTAAGACCCGTAAGCCTGACAACATGGATCTAAAAGCCAGCACTCCCGAACCCTGCTTCTTGCGGCTGACGCTGCCCAGGCTTTTCAGCCTCGCCGAGTTCAAGAAATTGAAGGTGCACTGGCTTACCGATCGATTCCATGGTAGTTCCGCTTGTTGGCTAAACAAACCATTAATGTAGTGTACTACAAAACCACAAAAGGAAACTCCAGTGGAGACTGTAGACGAGTGGTCTGTCTTGCATGTGATGCAGCCGAGCAAGCTCGTTGCTGTCTTTGTTCTTTATACGGCTTAGTGATGAGGATTGCTGAGAGTTGAGGCCTTGTAGGACATAGGACTCGTGACTACGGTTAACGTCTGCAGCAGGAAGTTAAGGATAGTTGCAGGATTGGTTTCGGGAATGTAAAAACTGGTTATCTTATCAGATTTGCGATTGCAACAGCACCAAGCAGAGGCGAGAAAGGATCGTGTTAGCATTCTCCCAACGAAGGAAGAGTTGGTTGGTCGACTGTCATCTGAACGGGAGCTCAGGAAAGGCGTGGCTATGTGTGCACATGCCAAAAGCCAGGTGCCATTCGACATCTCAGAATCTCGATTGTCAAGTCCCTGGGTGCTCCTGTCGAGAAGCCTGTATCCTGAACCTAGAATCTTACGACGGCCGGGGGGCAGAGAATCTGTCGGATGTGATCTAGGAATGTAAGGCCGCAGGGGGTAAAGGGAAACAGATTTCGTCAAAGCTCATGTGTCTAAACGCTAGACCCTAAACCCCAGACCTAAACCCTTTCATAAACCCCAGACCTACACCCTTTCATAAACCCCGGACCTAAGCCTTTTCATAAACCCCAGACCTAAACCTTTTCTAAATCATAACACCTGAACCCTAGACTCGTAACCCCAAAAGCCCTAAGCCCTGGCGACCCTAAACCTGCCTCAGCTCCGCTTCTCGCATGATCGAAACGCAGAAGCACTGCTGGACCCTACATCCTCGAAGCCTTACAGCTCCGAATACCGAAACCCTGTGAGCGGTTTTGGGTTTAGGGCTTAGGGCTTCGGGTTTAAGGAATATCGAAACCCTACATCGAAACCCTATGAACCCAGCCTGCAGCCGAACAAACCTACCTTCTGAGGGTTGCGTATTAAGGTGTATGTCTCTCTCTCTCTCTCTCTCTCTCTCTCTCTCTCTCTCTCTCTCTCTTTATATATATATATGTATAAATATAGTTGTAGCTATATATATATATATATATATGAGCCCGGAACCTTTGGGGTGTATTTAACCACCTGCTTTTCTTTTCCGTATGAAATTGTATTCTTTTTTCTGTATACATTTATGTACACAAATTCCTTTGGCTATACATATGTTTTCATTCCCGAGCCAACTCTTAGTCTTAGACTCAGCGTTGTAAATAAATGCTGTTAGGCTTGATTCTGTTTGGTCTTCGTCTACGCATCTTGTCTCTGTGGTTTGCACTTCAGGTCTGGTGGCTTGCTCATTCACATTCAACACATCGGTACATGTACAACACATGCGCATATGTATACAAACATACATACATAAACAAGTGCACATACACACACACATACACACATACATACAGACATAGAGACATAGAGACATACATACATACATGAACCCACTCGTCAGTCGTTATTGGATATCCGCATATCCGCATGAAGGTATGCACTTACTCTATGTCATCTATGTACTTACATCTCCATGTCCGTAGGTCGTATCTAACAACGGACTTTTCAGGAGCTCATGGATCGACTGTTTAGGATCCGTTCTCAGTCACGATGGTCTACCAGGGCATGAACTTGGTCCTTGGTCGGAGAATCGGGGTGGCAAAGCGGTGTTTTCTTGAACCCAAACGTTTTGAAGCATTCTTCATGACCGTGGGATCGGAAGGTTCAAAGTTCAAACATAAAGCCCACCGCACCGAACAACTACAGACTTGATCGACAAAGGTGATGATCATTGTGGTCTTGCTGCTATGGACATCAACCAAGCATGGTACAAAGGTAGGAAAGGGTTTGGTAAAGGCTATGTTCACCACAAAGGTAAAGGTAAAGGAAAAGGCAAGAAAGGTGGAAAGGACTTCGGAAATGACGGTAAAGGCAAAGGTTTTGGAGGTTTTGGCAAAGGTAGAGGTCGAGGCAACTGGAAAGGTCGAGGTCGAGGTTTCAGAGGCTACGAAGGTAAAGGAAAAGGTAGAGGAAGAGGATTCTTCAGGTCTAAAGGAAAAGGTGAACGAAAAGCACAAGCAGCTACGGGAGTTTGTCACTACTGTCACAAGTACGGACACTTTGAAGCACAGTGTAGGCAGAAACAACGTGACATGGGATACCAAGTTAGGAATGTAGACCTGGAAAGCCAAAGCGAACAAGCTAGTACTACTGCAGCCTCTACTCAGGCCCCTTCTTCAACGAACAAGACCTCAACAAGCCAAAGCCAAGCAAGCCAACGAACCCAAAGACCAGTGATTAGGATGGTCTCCATGTACCACATGGGAGATCAGCCCACAAGCTTTCCGGAGGAATTCGAGTTGAGCGAGAATTCAAAGGAAATTGAGATTGAGTACTTCGGAAGAGTCTTGCGGGTTGTTGGAGAAGAAGTTCAGGAAGAGAGCAGTGAGACAGAAGAGTTTGGGATTGGTGATGAAGATGATGAGTTTCAGGACTGTGATGAGGTGAGTGATGATGCATGGTTGCAGTGGCACTTAGAAGAAACCCCAGTAGGAACTCAAGATCGTGGATACCACTACGAGTGCCCTAACGGTTGTCACGAGACACCCTGGCATCCGAACATGCAGGGATGTGAATTTGGATGTCACCATCCTCCCACAAGGAACCGAGTTGAAAGAACAGTACCTCCAAGAACGAGCACCAGCTTTGTGCGCGCGGCAAGAAGATCAAGAGCTCGTGAGATCGAAGTCGTGCTGGATTCAGGAGCCGACATTTCTTTGGCACCGATGTGGATGAAGAAGTACGGAAGGAAAGCACCCAACACTACTTAGGTAGTCTTGCGAGACGCACAAGGAACGCGGATTAAAGTTTCGGACCAAAGGATCATTGAGGTTGAATTTCAAGATGTTCAAGGAAACATTGTGAAGGTTGAAGAAGTGTTCTTGATTTCATCGGTTGTGCACCCTCTTTTGACAGTAGGTAAACTGTTGAAGAAAGGTTGGGAGTTCAGAGATGGAACAACTACAGGAACCTTCCTCACAGAAGGAACAACCAAGATCGCAGTGAACTACAACAACAACTCACTTGCAACAAAAGCCTTCGTGAGAGCAGTCAACTGGGAAGCAGAAGCAAAGCCTATTCCCATCTACTTGTGTGAGAACCTGAAGGAACTCATTGAAGAGCAGCGTGTCGGTTGGACCAACTGGAGAGACCCTTACCAAGTGCACTACAGCTTAGGAACTTCAGAACACGTTGACACATACTTGATGTTTCCACCAGGAAAGTTTGCATACAGAGCAGTACTCATTGAGGATGATGACCAGTGGTATCTG